AATCACCGTCCCCCTCAGATGTGAGGGGTTTCATGTCTGCGTGCACATACGCCTCTTAAGAGTTGGGGAGAGAAAAAGCAAACGGTCTTGGAAAGCCCCTGTCACTTCTGCCCGAGGATTTCCATTCCCTTGCCCCCTGCACCTTCCCGGCCCAACACAAAAAGCGAGAGAGCTGGAGTTGCTCTGGGCGAGTGATCGGACTCTGTGGTCCGCACGGGCGACACCTGAAGGAACGCACACGGCAGGGAAACAAACTGAAAGTGGGCCTGCACCCGAGGTAGCTTCTCAAGTCAGCGTCCTCACCTCCTGGACAATGTTGCGCTCAGCTCAACTGTTCACTTTCTACTTTAGGTTTAAAGAAACAAAAAACCTTAAGAGCTTTCTGGCAGGTACCGCTTGAAGGGTCATAATTTCTCCAAAACGCAAGACATCTGACGTGTCTTGCTTGCCATACAAGTAGCTTGTGAAATTACAACAATTTGCAGTTGTTTTTCTGAATTATTTGCTGATTCAATAATATAGCTAGTCAGCTCTTTACACCCATGTACTCACTAGCTGGTTGATCCTATCACTAAAATGTAAGCGAGGCTTACTTTTACATACTCTATGCCACTCAGCATAAGCACACTGCTATCTAAAATTTATCACTAAGAAACTTAACTCAAAATGGCTGTTTCTAGCTGCAGAGCTGCAATTAAACGATTATAGCACTGAACTCTGCAGGAGCATATATCTTTTCCATTACAATTCATATTTGAACCTCTAATGCCAGAAGCATTTGGTCACATAGTCGTATTAGCCCAGACCCCCTACCCTGTAGAAGCTGCCCAGTGCAGGACGGCCTTCGTAATTTAATCTTAAGGTTCACAGCAAGGTATCTTCTCAGTCTTTCACCATTAAATTATATGTCCGTTAATCAACCTGCCTATGTGCTTAAAAAAATCTACAGTATTTTTTAATTGAGCTTGTTCTCTTTTTCTTTTAAACACAAAAGATTATTCAGAGTCAAAAAAAAACAAAACCCCACCTCTGATGATTTCAATAAGCCTTGCATTCTAGTCTTACAGCCCAGCCCGATATTGATGCTCACCATTAAAGGATTAGCCCATTTGTTGACACGTGTTTTCACTTTTGAAGAAAGCCAATCAACACAGTGTATCGGCTAGGACTACAAAAGCAGCAGATCACACCAGAGATCTGCACTGCAGGTAAATCTGGCCTGGGCTTTGCCATAGTCCCAGAAATGCCCGTCTCTTGCTTTCTGCAGAAGGCTCCTTATTTCTCACCATTCCCTCAGTCTGCTGGGAGGCAGCTGCAGTGTGCTCCTGCAACCACCAGCTTTAAAAACAACGTGCAGCATCCGACTGGCAGCACAGCTAGAGATGGCATGCTGCCTCCTGCTGAGTTGAAATCAGTACGATTACCCAACAGACGTCAGAAAAAAATAAACGGATCCCTGGAATGTGCACTTTTGTGGGTAAAATGAAGAGAAAGGTTTATCTTCACGAGAAAACAAAAACAGCTTGTACTGCAAAAAAGTGAGAATGACTTATTACAGCTAATTTTAACTGCCTTACCAGTGAAATATCAAGAACACAGCAGGAAGAAAAATGGACAAAGATTACTAGTTTCTTGGCTAACTCAGGATTTTTCCCTTTTCAGAAATCCAAAAATCAGCACCCTTTGGAGCTGGGCAAAGAAAGAACATGAAATAAATGTAGACCAGCATGCAAGCAATGTTGCAAATCACTTGTTGAAAAAAGCAGTGACAACTGGAAGAAAAAAAAATGGGGGGGAGGAAACAGATCAAACTGCCTTGACAAAAAAATACGTCTTAAGCTTCAGCTATGCTAATAAAGCTGTGCCAATAAGAGCAGAAGACATCAGTTTTTTCCAGGTGGAAACATGATTCAAGCAGATAAATGTATGGCCTGGAAGCGCCTTCATTTACTAACTGTGCCATTCAGACATACGTCCCACTCCTATATGGAACATTAAATTTAAAGTTGTTTCCAACATTTTATTACTTAATAGAACTGTTATTTCTTTACACCCAAGACGGAGCAAGTTGATATGAGAGTCTCCTGTGTTTTACAAGGCTAGATCTTTAAATTCCCCTTGCATAGCCACTGACAGTCCTTATCATTGCAGGGTTGTGTTTTAAAGTTACTCAAAAATGAGAGTGAGCCATTCTGCGAGCAGCAATCCCAATGACACCTTACTTCTTCTAAAGCCATGTCATGCATCCTAACTCCCCAACAACCCGTCTTTTTACATGATCAGCAAACAAAACATCCTTTCTTTTCTGAAATCTCCTAAAACTACATTATCTTTGTTCCCTCTTAAGTCCAGTTGACCATGAGTAACATTTTTTCCAAGCCATGTACACATTATCATTTCCAATTACAGCTCCTAGCAGTACAGATTGGAACTGCTATTCACCTATTTACTCCTAAAGGCTCCACTGGCACGAAGGGAAATACTTGAACACCACCTTGTATATCATCCCTGTAAGCAGAACTGGCTCATTCCAATCTCCAATTTTAATTCCTTACTTATCATCTGCAAGCAGAGAACCTTAAATTAAGCATCATTTTCTTTCATCTTGGTTTGCTTTTAGCATTCTGAGGTCATAGTTTTCATTTACACTTTTCAAAACATAGCTAGCTTTCACTAACTGCCAGCCATTAAAATGTGCTGGTGTGGTTCTTCAACTAAACACATCACTCACTTTGTTAACCAAGAATTTATACTATATATATGGATTTATCCAAGCAAGAGTGTATCTGAAAATCATTTACTCAAATTCCCAATCTTTACACTTTTTTTAATGGGATGAAAGTAGCATGGTGATAACATTTCCTAAGCGACTCATTTGTTATTCATGATGTTTAGCAGACACTATTGAATAGAACTGGATTAAATATAATCAAGTGCAACTTCTATGAAGAAGCTGAATAGACATATTTTTCATTATTCAGAAACACTTCACATCTAAAAATGATGTATGAAGCAAAAACAAAGCTTTATCTTCGTAAAGAGCATGAGCTTACTCCCTTTTGCTACTTCTGTCCATTGATATTTTAAAACTAAAGGATTTTCTTTCACTCCTGTTCCTCTGATCTTTCATTAGGGAGGAGAAAAATGCTTTCCTACACTTCCCTCAGCCCGAGCCACAGTGTTTCTCCTCTGCTGCCAATCAGCTGATAAGCTGAAATGAACAGGGTCTTTACATCTACAGAAGAAGCCATTATTATCTAACACACTTGGCTTCATCTCCTACCCTACAACTTTTACCATTACAATGGCTTGTCTTTGATTAAAAACTCCAGCAGCAAGCGTATCTATTCAGTATAAATATTGATTTCGTTTTAGGCGTTGTAAAGGCTTGTCATAATTTTTCGGGTTAAAATTAAATAGATTAATTACAAACCAGAAATTAGAATTTAGGAAAAAAATCTATTTTTATTCTATCTTCATAGCAATCCTTTTACAAATGTTAAATATAAAAGTCAAAAAATCCTTTAACTACCCTTAAACTGCCAGTTTCTAAATTTCATCAAAACCTGATGCACAGATCATTTAGGATTCATAAGACTTTACAGAGCAAGCTTTTGGGGGTACATTTTGGCTAATTTTATTAACACTTTGCTAAAGAGCACATAATCTCTGAAATTGTGGAATATTTGGAAAGATAAACACAGTTTCATCGGCAACTTTAATTAGTCTCAAAAAGGCGGCGATGCTGTGCTGTTTGCAAGTGCCAGGAGTCACAAGCGAGTTAGCCAGCTTTTTGTCTCCTCGGATGCAAAGGAGGAGACAAAACCTCCCAGGCAAAGCTGCCTCTCACCTCTGCGCTTCCTTAGGCCTCAGATCAGGGCCTGGTAGAATTGCTAACTGGAGGGCTCCAATTTTTCTTAAGGCGTTATATGTTTATCTACCTTACCTAATATGTATGAGAAGTACAGTAAAACCAAGGAAGAAGCACTGCGTCTTTCAAGAAAGCAGACAGCTGTTTACGGAGAGGTGTAACACTAGGGAATAGGCGAGGGTGCACATGATGGTCTACTGTCTGTAGGTGAACTGCCCTCCTCCACCGTTTATCAATCAGAGCGGCTACAGCAGCAACATCCGAACTAATTCAGCAGAGTGATAACCAAATGTCACCACATCTCTAGGTACTCAAGCGCAAATCCTTTCTAAGCCAATAGTTAATAGAACAGAGGCATCCTTTCATCCCAGTGCATTTCAGCACAGTTCACAAAACAAAGCTTTTGAGCCCAACCTTAGCCTTTAAATGCGCTCCAGGATTAATACAAGACAAGCGAGATGGTTCCCTCTCCGAGAGTAGAGAGGAATGGAGAAGAACAACTCTTTAAAGTGTCACTGACATGCTTATCACCTTGAAGCACGTAAGGGCTCCACCTGTGCTATTTTCACTGTAAAGTACTCTTAGAGAGCCACTCAGTCAGCTTCCCATAGGATAATTCTGCTTATACGTCCTATTACAAGGAGCCGCGCATAGTTACATGTTCTAGGAGCGTCAGTTTCATGAAAAAATGCAAAGTAAAGTGGCACCATGTCCATAAAGAAAGCAGACAGCTACTTATTGAGACAATCAATTTAAAATAGAAGTAAGCACCCAGAATATGTGCTGCTCCAACTCCAAGCCAATCATCCTGACTTCTGAATTAACAAGTTATTACCTTGGATAATGAAATCTAAAAGATATTAGACACTATTGTTTCATTCACAACACCCATGTACGTTACCTGAAAGAGAACTGCTTTGTTATCATACCTACACTTTATTCTTACAAACCTCTTAAAGATTTGAATCGTGGTTGCAAATAATATTCTCTTGCCAGTGCTGCTCTAGTCAAGGGCAAAGCCTATAAATGTTTCTAGTTATCCTGACTTGTTCTTTCTACCTTCAAAATGAAATAGTCTACAGTTGGTTTGAACGTGCATGCATGACATACAGCTTTGTTCCATACTCACATGCTTACTAGCAGGTTGACTCTGAGGTAAAGATCCAGGGGCCAGCACTGGAGAGCTTGCAGGACTACAAAGTTCCGGAAACGGATTTGGTATGGCTGGCAAAGATGATGTTCTAAATTGCTGCTCTTCCTCCTGTAGACGTCTACAAACACAGAAGAACTGAGCATCAAGAGGAGCAAACCAGCACCATCCACCTTGGATCTCCTGCCCCACCATTTGATATATTGATACTAAAGAAAAGGAATCAAAATCATTCTTTTTCTAAGCAACTACCTTACGCTTACAGCAACCGCAAGGACGAATTAAGCAACTGCATGTGTAAAAACGACCAGTCATGCATCTATGCTTGTTTTGTTGCTTATAACTTGGTTACTTGGGTGAATAACTGAGGTAATTGTGCACATAAAATAAACAGAAATACCAGTCTATACCCTCTGTTACAAGGGCTAGCTTACAAGCTTATGTTGTGTGTGCCAGCAAGTCAGTTAAGTTCTTGCAAACTGACATAAAAGGAGGACGCAACTGCAGTAATTTAGAGCCAAATTCCACACGGATCTGCAAACAAACGTGTATCCGAGGAAAGTCATTAGGATGACACTGAAACCAATACTGTCACCTTGTTACAATACAAGATGCCATCTCTAAGCCACTCAGCATTTCCTGGAGAGATGGAAAGGCAAAGACTCAGCTAGAGCAGTAACACATACACCCTCCTAGCTTACGCTAGTTGTAACGTTATAGTTCAGGCAAGTTCTCCACGTATTTCCTAAGACAGGTCTCATGACTCTAAGTAGGAATAACACAGGTCAAAGTCCCAGTCTGTAAAACACCTGTGCTGACCACACCAAGAGAAGCAAAATCAAAGCTTACCAGTTACCACAGAAAAGTCTGGAAAGATATGAGACCTATTCATGACCACATACACATTGCTTTAAGTTTTCTTATTGCCAGTGCACCAGCGTTAAGGACACCCTGCGTGACTGTTCACGCCAGGCTCGTCTGCAACTCCTTTGCAGAATCCGCCATCTAGTGGCCGTCGCTAAAGCCTCCAAAGGCAATCAACTCCTGGATGTGGAACAGGGGAACCACGTTAAAAGCTAAGCATAGCTGGCTCTCCTTTTTTCATGCTCTTCATCCAGCTGCCTTCAGCAAACAGACTCTTCTTAACACAGTCGTCTTGGACGCAACTGTTCGTTTTGCCTCGGGCTACAGGTCCCGTTCTGGGCACCTTTATTGTCAGTGGCTCTACTAGAACTTGAGAGAATATAAAATAGCTAATGTGAAATCTGCTCCACAGGTAATGCTACTCAACAATTTAGTCTCCCTGGTATTTCAAGAATGAGCCCTGCGGATTTGTTTTTTGCCATCAATAGCAGGTGCCAGTCACAGCTACGGGCTGTGCAAATGACTAAGACTGATCTGCTTGATTTTTCTCACTGCCAATGCTGTACAGAGGAAGGTAAAGAAGGGTGTCATTTTTCTTCAGCGCAGCACATTCAAGGTATTGGCAACTGTGTAATACACAGCCCTCCTTACTGCAAGTTTCTGACCAGGTGCTTGCGCCGGACCCCCATTATAATAGCGGAATTAAAGATTCAGTAAAATTAGAAAGGCATGGCTTTCTTAAAATGAAATTTCACCACACTGCATTGCGCTCTGCCTATACTGCTGCAGCGTGTCACTTCCCACATCACTGAGACACAAACAAAGCTGTACTCTAAAGAGAATCACCACAATCATCCATTCTGTTCTGGCTGAGGAAAAAGAAACAGCCATTCCCCTGTACGGGAGAGAGGTCTAAATAACCCAGAATACACGTTCTGCCATTATTCTCTTTAATGCTAAATACATGACGTTCTAGGGCTTATGGAAGTAGACAGTTCAGAAAGTCAGAGTGTTTTCCAAAAAAAAATGGTTACATTTTGAAATGCCAAAAACATTTTAGAAGAAGTGTTTTCACTGAAACTTTCACAAAACATATAGAGTTATAGCACTCTAGAGAGTGCATTTTCTAGTACAGCCCCATTCAAGGATAAATTTGAAATATTGGTAAAAATATCATTATGTCATTAGCTGACTCGGTTGCATGGCAGTTACTGCATACTATCCGTCCTTACAGAAAAGCTGCCTGACTAAAGAATACCCCTCCTACAGGAAATACATCAGGGTAAAGAATTAGGAGCAACTTTTAGACATCTGGGATTTTTCCATGACTATTGATTCCCACTTCTTTTGGAGAAGCTACCATTAACTAGAAGGAAAGGAAAACTGCAGGTATATCTGACTCAAACAATTTACCTACTCAGATTGACAAGAGCTCCTTTCTTCCTGCTACTTAAAAAGAAGATTTTAGGAACTTGACCATTACGTATAGAGTCTCCAATCACTACCAGGAGCGTTCCACTCAAAGCTTGAATTCAAGTCCCCATCCTAACACAAGTGAGACAACTTACATGCTTTTTTTCTTGTAATGTCCTCAAGCGAAGGAACTGAAAGTGCTCTAGGAAGAATGGTTAAAGAACTATGGTGCTCCTTTGTTTGTCTTGGACCTTTCAAGAAACTTCTATTAAGAGAGCCATTTTTGTGTATCAAAACTAGCTCAATGCAACCTCATATTTCTACACGATTCACTGTGTTTTATAAAACTAAGAAGCCGTTAACAGGCATCATGGCTGATTGATAGAACAGTTTTTAAAGGTTTGGAAATAAATCCAAACACGGATGTCATTTCTGCAAATTCATACCAATGGCAATGCTTCTATGCCTACCTGCCACTACTAATATATCAAACATTGATAAAAGACAGTAAAAATGCAAAATATGTTTACATTTTACAAAATACATGGAAAAATTATGTCCTCCACCTACTTGGTAAATGTTTTTGCTATGCATAAGTCCATTGTAACACTATTAGGGCCCCACTGAAGCTGATCCAAGATTTAAAAATTTATTTCTTTTAAAGCTAGTTCAAGAAAATTTTAACAAAAGAAAGCAAGTCCCTTTTTCCTACCTGACTGCCATAATGCGTACTGGCTGAGACCGCTGCACCTTCTGCCTTGGAGATGTGGGCTGCAATGAGCTTGATCCTGAGGTTGGCAACTGACTGCGATTAAGCTGGCCATTTTGAAGGAGCGGAGTGGTTTCCGACTGCATACTGCACGTAGAGTACAAACTCTCAAATGAGGAATTCATGTCATTTACCAAAGCTTCTAGGTCCACATCATCATCTGAAAGGCAAAATAAAGGCAGCGTAACACACCCGAAAGTCACAGATAAAAGCAGTTGAGAAAGACTGAAGGCTAAGTTTCTGTAAAATTACCACATATTCTATGGCTATACTTTTACAATGCAAATTTTGACTGCATTTACTTTAGAGTAGAAAAATGCATCTAATGACTTTTAAGAAAAGCAAATTAATATCAGATCAGTGATGGTCATGTTTATTTTGTTTTCCTTGGTGAAAGGCTATTAGCTGAATGAAATATCTCTACCACAGTATTTACTGATCAAGCACTAATATTTTGAGGAATTTTTAATACCACCAATGCGAACGTGAAATACCACTTCACTTGCTATTAAACTGACATACATTTTGGATATGTATCACTTACTAATATCTCAATCCAGCTTGTTAATGTGTCAAGTTCAGATTGTCAAACTGTATGATAAACACTGGATGCGAGATACAGTAATTTAAGGACACCAGAAAAAGATATTGTTGCACAAGTCAGTAGGCGGGAAAAAAAAGTACTTCTGTTGTACAAGCTGGAAGTCTATCATTATAGTTTTTAAAAATCCCTTCTTCACGTTTTTGCATATTTTTGAGACAAAGTATTTTTTTGAAGGGCAATGCAAGCTTTTAACTGTCATGACAATGGTTTTATAAAATCTTTTTCACGCGTACTCTTGCAATGCAATAAAGAGGCTCGTACCTTAGAGACCATGAAGTAAACCAACCAGGCACGTGGTGCGGGTGGTTGGAGAAACATCAGTCCCTAAAATGTGTACCCACCCTTCTGCATAAGCCATCTTACCTACAGTAAATACGTAACTCTTGTTGATTCGTTCCTTGTTAACTATCATAATTACTTTGCAAGGCAACAAAACGCTGCAAGTCCTTTGAAATAACCACCCTCTAATTTCTATTTCTACGTATTGCAGGTACTCCCTAGGCACAAGTTACGTCACTCCGTATCAGAAGTTCAACACACTAACACACATGCACATAGATATCTGCTGCTGATCACCTCACAGCGACTGGCTAAACAACTGCTTTAGATCAAACGCAGCTTTGTGTATCCAAAAATTTGCCCACTTTTTTCCAACTATATCAACTGGCTTAGTTAAAGACACCATTGTTCCCAACAAACCTTGCATCTTTCAAAAGTGCTCATGACACAGATGGATGGAAAGTAGAGCCAACCGAGCTAACAAACATTTACACAGCACTGTGCAGCTAAAATATGCTTCTTACCCCAAATAGCTTCTGACATCAAGTCTTTTGCCTCGTTTTCTAGGTAAACAAGCATTATACTTTTTCAAGCCACCAGAAGCAGCTGTCGTATTTCAGTAACCAATTACGAGACTCTTTCTGAGATAACATAAACCGTTTTTGTACCACTGTCACCTTTCTGGAGGGTCCCATCTGAAACAGCACTACTGTACTCTGTCCACCAATAACATGCCTCAATAACCATAACGGGATCTGAACACTTCATTTACACTCTGTATGTTCCTTACCGGAAGTTCGGAGGTCCTTTAACAAAGCGTAAGTCACTCAGGCTTCACTGAAAGTGTACTTCCTTTCATTTGTTTACTGTTACTTCTGTCACTCTCTGCCAACTGCTAAGGCAGGTCTTCACTAGGCTACACCATCTTCTCTATGTGTTTGCTAGTTCATGCATTTTTCAATAACCTGGACTTTACTTTGCTTGGACAAAGCCTAGGAGAATTTTCCTGCTATTTTTAAGGGATCATGGGACAGAGTCGCTATTTAAGTTTCATTCCATCCTTCAGATTCTTATCCTATTTGGAGGACATATGTCCATATCTAAAACACTTCTTGAGCAATCACATGGGAACCACAAGAGTAGGAGTACAAAGAGGAAGAGGCTGAATTACAAGGTTTTGAATGTTATCATTCATCTAAAGTATCAGAGGAGCAAACTGTAAGGTGTCAGTTGCATTAGGAGAAAAACCTGATGGTTGTCGTCAAGTAAAAACTTAGGTGCTGGATGAAGGACACGTAAAAGACAGACCCTGGCCACAGAGTCAGCCAGTAAATTACAGCAACCAACAACCGTTTAGTAAGGTCAAAAGCAGAAAGGGAAGAAAGTAAAGGGGTATAGCCTGTGGAAGACAGCATGGTTTTGTCCCTAAGGGTGCTAATATATTAACTTAGCCAAACTTGTGCAAGATCATTAAGTTTTCAGGTAACTGTAACACAGGAGGAATGATTAAGAGTCAGCTCAAGCTATCCCTGAAAAATCAAATGGGCACAAAGGTGTAATACGAAATTTAATATGCCTAAAATGAGGCCTTCAGGCAAAATACTAAGGAAACCAAGTACACAGTTTAAGTCATTGAATTTCCATTAGCAAGCTTTTAAGCATATCAATTACACACTTAACTTCAGTTTTCATTGGGATCGGTGCCGATAAGCTGTATACAGTGTATATAATATACTGCACTAAAGTTCAGAACGTGATATCACCCCTCCATCTGGCAGTTCCCTTTCTCCATGGATGCAAGTATTGCTAAACATGGCCCTCAGTCGTGCTGCAAAACTTTTGCAGGAGCCCGCATCCTTAAGCTTCCTGAAGACAAAGCACACTATCTTAAGCCTCATACAGGTTCATCTCTATGCAGTGGTATTTACTACTAAATACCATTATGTTTTGGAGATACTTATTTCAGCATGCTGCAATAGAAAATCTCACTGCTGCAGTCTACCTTGGAGGTGCCAGCAGATGTCTCAGCCTGACAAGTAATACAGCATGTTACTTCTGACGGCTCTCTACAGAGCTTAAATAAATAAAAATCAAATAAGCCATGCACAGGATTTCTGATCCACTTCAATCATTTGCAGTTATACTATTCAAAGGGAAGTGTCAGATATACGACAATCTTTCAAAGTATTTTTTCTACCAACCAGCACGATCCAGTCTTCACCAAGATCATCCTCCAGTGGAAAAAAGCTAATTGGAACTGATTTTGAGCAGGCTAGCTAGTTAACAGCAAAACTGGCCTTGGGATTTGAGCCAGAATGGTGTCATGCTGGTCCTCAAAGCACACCCACATGAATTTTGCAGCTGACCAGGAAGAATTACCTTCGCAGGCAAGTGCAGCTGCAGGCAGCCAACAGCCGCTTTCCCCAGCTAATCTTGCAGCTGCATGTTTCAGGGATACTAACGGCTATATTCCTTAATCTGCATGAAATTCTGCAATAAGATCAAGGGGTATGCAAGTGGGTATTTAAGGTTTGTTTTTTTTCCCCCTGAATCCAACAGCATAGAGGCCTTCACTTCTATTGCAGAGACATACAAGCAGCCTTTCATTTTTAGAAGCTGTTTTTAAAGGAAAGCACTAGCAAAGCCTCACTCTAACATACCTCTACACACTTTTTTTTAATTATTATTTTTTAAACGGTTAAGCTTTTGTTAGTGGAGGAGGCGCTGGTAGTTTTGTATCCTTCTTATACCATAAGAAAATACTTGAGTATGGCAGTGAGTAACACTGGCGTGCCTTTTTCTTTCCCAAACTAGAACCAAAGTGCACTGGCAGCTGTTTGAACTTCATTTTGCTGCTTTGCCCACAATCTGTTAAACTTTGGCTTTGTTCACAAACAGTTCTCCTGGACGTTGCAAGCAATATTTTTGGTAAAGTAAAAAAAACAAAAAACAAAAAAATCATGATTTCAGTTACAAGAAGAAATTTAAAAGTTCCATTCAAGCCAAGAAAGAAGAGAAAACTTCGTTATAAAACTGTTGTTGAGCTAGTGAGCTAAGCTGCCGTGTTCCACAAAAATAAAAGCACTTCATTTGAATATCATTTAAATATTTGAGGGCATACTGTAAGAGGGGATGATAACCACTCACATAGGCCTCAGTAAACTCTAATCCGTGCTTAAGCAAAAGCCCTCCAAGTCCTTTTTGTCCTTCTGCCTCCTCCCTTTCTGCCTCCATCCCCCTAAATCCTACTTTGTTTACTTATTTTGGGTTGTTGTTGGCCTCGATGTGTCACCTCAGCTAACAGGAATGAGCAGGATCCCACTTATTCTAAAACAATATAATCCCCAAATGAGTTCTGTTCTGTTTCATCTATGTCAACCTCTTGAATAAAGTAGGTATTTCCATGGCTGTCAAGGGACTCATTACACTGCAGAACTTTTGTTTACTGAAAAAGGCCGAACACGGAAAGAATCCTGTCTTTGGTTTGGAGACCAGGTTACATTTCATTTCTCTAAATGGCAGCCCAGCAAGCACCCTTCCTTTTGCCATAGTATTCCCTATGAACTGCAGACCCTACGAAAAACATGGTAGGACTTAAAGCGAGCTGTGATTTAGGAGGCTTTTATTTAAACTGAATACGCACGTGCATAAATTATTTCCTTCTTGCTTGGTCATTTCGGAATTCAATCGTTGGCATGACACCTTACCTTCGTTCACAGAAAAGACTGTTGTGAACGTTACTAGGGGCTCAGCAGAACATTTGTACAAAGGGTATACTACTTTGCTGTCCCTACCTGCAGGTCTGACACAATATGAAACTCAGCAGAAGGTATATAAACCAGTGTTGGGTGTTAGAGTAAGGCAGGCATTGATCAACTATCTGACATATCGAGTCTGCTAAGCTGTTCCCCAAAATCAGGCTCACTAAAGCACGTTAGAAATCCTGCTTGATGAAACAAAGAGGCTAAGATATAACAATATAAGGTTTTCCTCAAATTCAGCTAAGCAGTGTAGGATATTGAAGTGTTTAAAAGGCCCTCGCCTGCACATTGATTAACTCGCAGGGCAACGGCTGGAAACAACGAAAGAAAAGGAGCAAACTGTCGTTTGTGTCCCAGCATTGTCACGCACTGTGTGCTGGAACGGCAGGTAATGCAGGAGAAACACGTTTATATTAAAACCAACAGAAGGACTTCACCAGAACGTAGGAAAAAAGAAAGTACAGACCAGCTATGCATCTAAAATAATTGCACTATCGAGCTCAATGTCATGTTTGA